AATCCTACTCTAGAAACAAGTTGCTAGTGATTCCCTGGCCTCTGCTAATTGACGCAAAAAGCAGGAAGGAAGGTTGGCCACTAAAAAGGAGTAGAATCCAGTGAAAGAAGTGTTTGACCCCTTTTCATAGCAGAGATCAAAACCTGAATAAATGACATCAGTGTGATGACCCAAGACATTCAGGTAAGCAGCTGTTGCAAACATTCTAACACACCTGGGAATTCAACTCCATTGATAGGTGGATGCTAGAGAACAGTCCAGAGGAAATATACAGAATCAAGAAAACTTGAGTGTCTTGCTCCACCACAAGCACTCCTTGATTAAAGAAGGTAATTGGGATCAGAATTTCCATCATCAAGCAAAGCAGTCGCAAAGTGTGACATCACATAATCACATCACTTAGCAATGGCACTCCTAGCCCTCCCATTTGCTGTCATTAACTGAATCCCACCTGGTAATTAGGCAAGGAGCTACCTTGATCCAAGCTATTCCTGGCTTGGTTCCTCTGAGCCCTATACCTAGTTAAGGTAAGGGACTGCCTCCTCTTCAACTTTCCCCTACCTATCTCTCCCCCGCCCCCATCGCCTTTTTGGCTACCATGCTTTCCAATGATCCTGTTGGCCCTGCCAAGTCTGTTCCTCTCACCCTCCCATCTCAATTGATCTTTGCTATGTTCTTTCTCCTGCTGCTGACGAGACAAGCTCAGCCTGGCCTCTCACAAGGCAGCTACTGGCCACACCAGGACTTTAATTTTACAGTATATAGACAGACCTAAACATAGTTTCATTTGGGAAAATGTGACCATCCTAGACCAAGCCAAGTCCCAAAATGCCAGGGAAGATCTAGAAGCGTGTCATTCTGACAGATTAACCATCAGTAGACATACAGACATTAACAACATCTATAGACTATGCAAAAAAGACAATCAAACAAAAAACCCAAGCACCTCTTCACCAGCAATCAGCACCCAGATGAGCATAGATTAACTCCAAGATTAACGTCAGATATAGATTAACTCCAAGATTAACGTCAGACCAACAATCAAGTAAACAATGCCCCAATCAAGAAATTGTCTAAGAAGCCAACAATAAACAGCCCAACCAAAGAATCTCCAGATACAGCCTTTACCTGCCCAATATTGCAGATGCTATAGTTTAACTGGGCCTGCCTAGAGGCTATTGTTTTAGTACATCCCTTTCTTGTCAGCATTGTCCAATAACTGAGAACAAGAGTTAAATTTACTACCTGCGATGATGGAAGAGTCCCAAAAGAGCACATCCATGTCTGACTGTCTAGTTCTATAGCCACCACATTTCTATTTTATTTTATTTTATTGGGGGGTGGGGTGGGGTGGATATTTCATGTATTCAGTCATTATACTGATTTAGACTGATTGGCTATAAGTACATATAGTCCTCTCTGACTGCAATTGGACCAGCAACTCAGTTGCTATGTGATGCTGTTGTAAAGTGAAGCAACACCCGACTTAACATCCATTCTGACTGTGGTTAAATGAATCACCAGTGATCGTTAAGCATGATGTCATGTCATTGTGACTTATGATTTCCTGCTGACTTCCCCATTGACTTTGCTTGTTCGAAGCTGCTAATGAGGGTTGCAAATAGAGATCATATGATCACAGGGACACTGCAACTGCAGTGTTTAAGGAGCAGCTATTAATCTACTTTTACAGTGCTGTCATAACTTTGAACAGTAACTAAACAAGCAATCAGTAAGCAAGGACTGCCTGTAATACAGAGACTAATCCATACAACTAAGGTCAACTCCTGTGGCTGAAGATTTTTCCAAGGAGAAGAAAGTCATTCTTCTGCCCTACCTTTTTACCAGAATAATAATCAATTTCGTATGTTAAGTCTATTATTCGTGGACAAAAAAATTCTTTGCAAAAATGACTGTTAGTTATTATTTAGACTTTTAGCAATCTCATGTACCCAGTGGGTGAGGACTAGATATAAAGAGAGGGAAGTTGCTTGAAAGAAAAGTTCATGGGATTTATTCACTTGGGCTAGAAGCAACTAGAACGAAGTAGCTTTGCAGTACTATGCCTTTGTTTAAAATTGGCTCCAGTAGTTATGGAAAGAAGATGGGGTCTTGGTGACTGTAGTTTATCTTGACATGAGTTCTAAGGGAGTTGACTTGAAGGAGCTGCTATTGTGATTTAGGAAAACTGAAGAGAAGCTAAACTGGTTTAAAAAAAAGCTTCTTGTAAGGTTGGGGACAAAGGCTTACTGAAAAAATACATACAGTACATATAATCTTTTGTTTACAATACCTCTCCGGATGAATGGTCAAACTATGTGGATTTAACCAGAACAGGATACACTTCTGGTTATTGCAGAATAGATTTACTTTTGGGTTGAAACATCCCAACATCAATACGCAAGTGTTAGTAAAGGATTTGGTTTCTTAAAGAACAATAAGTATGTGTTATGGGCGCCTTTAAATCTTAACTGCTCCTATCAGTTAATTTTACAGCTCTTCAGAAATCTACAAAGCATACAGTAAACTCAAGTGTTTCCTCATTTTTATTTTTTTTACTTCCTGAGTGTTATGGGTATACAGGCACCTGAGTGCACAATGACCACACACAAACATACATAGAGGTGCCAAAGTGCTAATGGCAGCTTTCCTCCAGATGTAGCTTCAGGGATATTGGATGCCTGAGTGCCTTTTTCCTTTGGCCAGTTGCTGTCTGCAAGTTGTGTCTGTCTTTTTCTGGCCCCTTTTTCCCCCTCCTGGCTCGAGTTTGTGGTTCCCTTCCATTCCTGTAGAGCTGCCTTCTTGATTTTCAGACAGGCTGTTCTGAGCCTTCAAGGCAAAGGTTCTCCATGCTTCAGATGGATCTCACCCACCGCTGACCGGCTTCAATTATCTTTCTCCCTCTGAGTTTCCATGACAACTGGACCTCGTCAGAGGCCTATCTTTGGCTTTGGGAAAACTTTTTGTTGGCCCTCGCTTGCAGAAGATTCATGGCATCTGCTTTAGATTTGAGCTGCTGGGAAGCCGTGGTCAGCCGACAACTTCTGCAGAGTGGCTTGACATTTTTGGCAAGAGGGTGGTGGGTGGTTCCTGTGCCTCATGTGACAAGCTGGATCTGCCTTGTAGTTGGTCTGGTGTTCCCATTCCTTGTCGGATCCCTCTGTGGACTGCAAGGCCTGGCCAGTGCCTAGGACGTGCTGTTCAGGCTTGGGCAGAAAAACAAATAGGCTTTCTGCGTTGCTATGGCAATGGCAGGCTGTGGGCAGCGGCTGGGAGGGGGCTCTGAGGCCTTTGGATTTGAGTGGCCTGTTTTAAAGACTGTGGTTAGGAAAGGGGGCTGCCTAAAGCTTATACCAGCACTCCTTAGTGCTGGTATAAGAGATGGGCAATTAATTTTCCCAAGGAGCCACATGAGAAACAGGGACTGTTGTGGAGGGCTGAACCAGTAGGACCAATGCATTAATTAATGTGAAGATGTGTAGGCACATATGCATGCACCTATGTAAATTGAAAAAAAAAATAGCAGTTGCCTTCAAAATCAAAGTAATGCAGTTGTATTGCATGCATGATGTACACTTATTTACATTTGATTTCTAATTTCCGATTGACCTCATGTGGACCTGATAACGAGGGGAGGGGGGGGCGTAAAATGCCCAGATCTGAGTTAGCTATTACTTTACTGGTCCTAGGTTGGTGGAAAGTTTTGAGAAACAGAAGGAGCCAATTTGTAGGAAAGAAGTGGCTTCTGCTAATACCAGGTTTTTAAAAACTGCAAGAGTTGGATGAAGAATGCTTCATTATGTGGCTCTCTCTCTCTAGTGAGCTAGGCCAAGTTTAAGCCGTCTTACTTTCTGGACACAGTAGCTATTTCACCCATGTTTATATGTCAGTGCAAAGCTCTCCCTTTTTTGTCTGCCAGATATTGGCAATATTCTTCTCCGGAGCAAGAAGGATCTTTCCAAAGTTTTTTTCTATTTAATTTGAATCCAGCCTTTTCTCAAAAAGTTCCTGGAGTCCATACTTTGGATTCTTGAATCCTATAAAATCCTTCATTCTTTGACTAGTTTGACTAGCCAGTCACTTGTCTAGCTTTATAAAGTCGACCAAAAAAAAAAATGTAATGGCTCCTGATACCAGGCATTACAACCATATTTTAGAAACTACATTTAGCCCTATCTCAAGCATATATCAATATATTGGCAATGTTCAATGGCATTACATTAAGTTATATGGCAATTATACAGAGCTGTTTTTAGCTATGCCCTGTTTTCAACTTCTCTGGGGTTTTTTGTTTTGCTGTGAGTTCTGCTGACAAAATCTTCTCCTGGATGGGAAAAGTTCTTTTCTTAGATTTGCCTGGAATTTGTTAGTAAGAGGAAATGGTTGGCTGGAACCTGAGGCAAGGCCAATATTTAAGATATCTATTTTCAGCTTGGCAAAGGTGAGTGTGAGCAGTTAGCAAAATATCCAGTGGACAGATACTGGTGAACTAGGATAGTGCAAGCTAGAAAAAATTGACTTCACAGAAGTGTTATTTAGTGGAGAAAAAAAGTTTACAGCAAAGCTATTGTGCAGGCTCCCAACTTGTTTGCAATTCTTAAGTGGTTTATGCACAAAAAAATAACGGCTTGGTGAAAAGAGATCCTAATTGCTCCTTGAATTAATTCTTTATGGAAATATATGAATATATCATAATAGCCACAGCAACTTGTGGAAGTGGAAACTTAAATGTAGGCCTTTCTTTTGTGAAGTTTGAGGCTATCTATGTTCTTTTTTGGAGGCTCTTTGCTTCAAGTACAACTTTTTTTTCTCCCCACTTTTACAATTGCTTTCTATATCACCCTTGTTGCTATTTCTGACAAATTTCTCATACTCTACCATTTCAGAATTCTTTACTTTAGAGTGAATCTGTGTTAGTTGTAGGTCTTTAGAATATATGCCCAATGTATGATGGACATAGGTGCCAGATACAAATCTAATAAGCTTCTTTTTCATGCTAGATGCCAGCCTGGTCTGATTGGAGAACACTGCCAGTTTCAAGATCCATGTCACCAGTCACCCTGTGCCAATGGGGGCTCATGTGAAAGCACCTTGCGTGATGGCACTGTGCACTACCAATGTACCTGTCCCAAGGGCTTCCGAGGTGAGGATATCCAGTGTGATGTAATAGGGAGATAAAAGCTTCTGTGGACATTTGGTAGAAAAGTAGTCTACTGGGATGGCAACTGGGTGCTCTCCAGGAAGAATGAGCCCTGAGTATAAACGAGGAAGTAGATCTCTTTGGGGAAAAGCCACCTGTTGCTCCATGATCACAATGTATTTCCGTTTCTGTTTAGGTCAGGACTGCTCTCTGTTTGATGCATGCGCCAGCAAACCATGTGTCAATGGTGGCCGCTGTACTAACTGGAATGGCCGATATAATTGCACATGCCCATCAGGTTATCAAGGCCGCAACTGTCGGAATGATGTAGATGAATGTCGGGTATCTGGTCTTTGTCAGCATGGTGGCACCTGTCTTAATACACCCGGCTCCTTCCGCTGTCAGTGTCAAGCTGGTTATACAGGACAGCACTGTGAGAGTATCTCTACACCTTGTGCTCCTTCTCAGTGTCTCAACGGGGGCACTTGCCGTCAGACAGGAGATCTCAGCTATGAGTGTGCTTGCTTACCCGGTGAGTGAACTTCCAGAAATGGTTGCTTACCCTCTGCTCTATGAGAGCGTGGTGGACAGAGAGATTCAGCATAAAAAAAATAAGTCTGATGCAATTGGGTTGTGTGGAACACGAGTATCACATGGAACACAAGCTTAACTATTTGCTTTTGCTAAATTGTACTTCACTGCTTTCCTGTCAGGAAACTCATGGGAAGCTATTGAGAGTTTTGGCAGAGCAGGAAGGAAGCAATCTAAAGGGAGGCGGGGTAGGCAAGTTAGCAGACACCGCTGTGGGAGGCTTGGCTAATGCTTCCAATCCTTGATTTAGTTTATGATCAGGAATGCAGGAAGGGCTTTCACTGCATAACTCAGAGACTCTTTGGCCAACAGTTCCTAACCCGACTTTAAACTGTATGTCATCTATCCCGGCAGGTATTCTTCTGGTATGTGCTTGATAGAATTAACTCCCGTGAAAGGATGCATAATTTGCTCATTCCATTTTAATACTAGACTTTTTTTTTGTTTTCCTTTCCTGGCACTAATTTTCCTATTGTCCGTAAGGCTAAATTATCTTCTTCCCTCCTTTCAGGTTTTGAAGGACACAACTGTGAAATTAACATAGATGACTGTCCAGACCACATGTGCATGAATGGAGGCACTTGTGTGGATGGTGTCAACACCTACAACTGCCAGTGTCCTCCAGAGTGGACAGGTACCGGAAAGCAGGGCAAAAAAATTGAATGTGATTAATTTCAGGGCGCTTAATAAAAATCTGGGCAGCTTTTAAGATCTGGTTATAAGCAATATTCTTTTTCTTTTCTCCATGGCATTATAAAAATATTAACTATCAAGTTAGGAAATCTGCCTGTTTGATGGATAAGACTATTTTTTAGTCCTTCAGCTAAAGGTTTTATGCTGGCTTAGTGAACTAGGAACAAAGAAAAGCAATGACAAAACTCACAACTTGGAACAGGAGAGGAACTGCAGCTTTTAGATTCAACTCTGCTTTGGAAAACATTTAGCTAAACGTATCCCTTTTTTTCTCCACCGTAGGCCAATTCTGTACCGAGGACGTGGATGAATGCCAGCTGCAGCCCAATGCTTGCCACAACGGGGGCACTTGCTTCAATACCAATGGAGGCCATTCATGTGTCTGTGTCAATGGCTGGACTGGGGAGAGCTGTAGTGAGAACATTGATGACTGCCAGACAGCTGTCTGTTTTCATGGTGCTACTTGCCATGATCGTGTGGCATCCTTCTACTGTGCATGTCCTATGGGCAAGACAGGTAGAGTTAGCTTCTGCCATGCATATCATATCAACAGACTTTAATCAGTATTAAATAAATAGATAAACTGTGAAAAGGCAGTGGGAATACTATATGGACATTGAATAAAAAGAAATGGAAAGAAATGAGGAATGTGAAGATGCAAAAGTTGCTTCCTCTTGCTTTGTGGTTTTTTTCTTTTCTTATTTCTTACATATGTATTTCTTGTCATGCGATGACCTTTCTCTTTCAGGCCTCCTTTGTCACTTGGATGATGCCTGTGTCAGTAACCCTTGCCATGAAGATGCCATTTGTGACACCAACCCAATGAATGGCCGTGCAATTTGCACCTGCCCACCAGGTTTTACTGGTGGAGCCTGTGATCAAGATGTGGATGAATGCTCCATCGGTGAGAATTTTGTTTTTCTTGTATAGAGATGTTCAAGAAAGATTGATGAATGGAATTATGTATCTTCAAAAAAAATGGGAGGGCCCAAAGGTTTTCTGAGATAGACTGACCTCTGCTGGCATGCCTTAGAATTGTTTTGTCTCAAGTTGTCTCTACAGGTATAATTTTGGGCCAACCATTTTCACTTGTTATTTTGTTGTTACCTGCAGGAGCTAATCCGTGTGAGCATTTTGGCAAATGTGTGAACACCCAAGGCTCCTTCCAGTGCCAGTGTGGACGTGGTTATACAGGCCCACGCTGTGAGACAGACATCAATGAATGCCTCTCCATGCCTTGCCAGAATGATGCCACCTGCCTTGACCGTATTGGAGAGTTTACATGCATCTGCATGTCAGGTAGGATCCCTGAATCTGGCTCCAAATTTAGTGAAATATATACTTAAGTTGCTGCCCTTGGTAGTGAGAATAATCTCAAAAGCAAGAAAAAGAGTAAGTATACAGTTGACTGGAAAGGAAGAGAGTCAAATCTCTGAGAAAGCTGGGCTCCTTGAATGAGCTTAAGTAGTTTACTTCCTTGCTTCAAATTGTTTTTAAAAAAAGAAAATTGAGAGAACTGATTCACTGTTATTGTGAAGCTCTGCATAATACATAAAGTACTTTCTGAAAATAATTGAAGAATACCTTGACTGCTTTATATCTAGTTGTTTGCTTGGTATGAGCCTAGCTTTATGATGTATTCTTGTGATTTGCACTTCACATGTGTCTAATTCTGAAAGATGAAGTGGCTCTTAAATTCTGATTTATCCTTATTCTTTTGGTGGAGAGGAGTCAGGTGGGATTAATTTAGGACGATGTGTCATTTGCCCATTGTACATCTGCAGTTTTTAACCATATGTTTTTCTTAAAATAAGAGACGCAGAAATATTGGAATTGCAGTCCTCATGATTTTAACTATCTAGCTTGAAGTTTACCTTTTTTTCTGTCTCTCTTGCTAATTGTGGAATGTATTTCTTCTTACTATCATAAAACCACAATCCCTTAATATTTAGATGGCCAATATAAACTTAGACGAAGCACTGAGGAAGAATCATTCATGAAAAAAGCCAGAGTTATGAATGTTGGACCTTTCCTAGAAATGTCAAAATCTATATATTGATCTCTCTGTGTCCATCTCTTTAGCATAGCATTGCTGTGCTGTACATTGGGGCAAGAAGCAGGTTGAGTCTTTCAGAAGTGTCTCTAGAATCAAAGCATGTATACATACAACACATTTCAAAGAAAGTGAGAGATGACTATACAGTTGTCCATTTCCCATTGTGGCAGAACTTTAAGATTGAGGTATTGCATAAATTTGTACAATGTTCATACAGACAGTTGGGAGTGCAGCTTTGTGCTTGGAATATTAATGGTGAGGCTGGCCTAGTGAGTGATGAGAATTGGCTGTTCTTTGTGCTTCCATTACCCCATATAGGGAGGAACATTCTCCTTCCTTGCTCACTCATTGGTTAATGCTAGTTTTTTGTACAGGCCTGGGGGAGGGGGAGGTCTTCTTAGCTGCAAATGCCTTTGGGGAAGGGGATAGTAAACTTTGTTTTAATGTTGCATGTTGCTCACCCAGTGTTGCTCTATTCTGTAGCCATTTCTTTTGGGATTAGGATACAGTGAGAGGACTAGATTATTAAGACTACATAAATGGCTTCAGAAATTACCCAACGTGAACAGTATTATTTTCCTGTGCAATCTTCTTTTCATAGCAAGAAATAGGAAACCTTAAAAAGGATGCCATCTTCAAGTAGATCAAGCTAGTTTTCCATCTCACATTTAGCAACAAATATTCTCTGTATCATCTAACTTATCTTTTTCAATAGATATATCCAGTGCTTTTTTTCTTAAAAAAAAAAAAAAAAGGTGCCGGAACTCACACAAGTCATACAACCTGCCTTGCCTACCCTACAAGGTTCCATCCAAAAAAGGTGCCGGAACTCCATTCTGGGCGTTCTATGAGAAAAAAAGCCCTGGATATATCAGAAGTTCAACCTGTAATCTTCCCCGTGATAAATGCATGTGCTATAGCTTATGTATAATGCTTCTTACATAAAAGGACATAAGTAGGACTTCTGCTTACTTCATGTAAAATCCAGCATTCCAGGAAACCTAACATAGTTGAAAATGAATATCCTATTACAGTGATTCTCAAACATTTTGGTCTCAGGCCTGCTTTATATCATTAAAAATAATTGAGGACCCCAAAGAGCTTCGGTTTATGTGGATTATATCTATTGCTATTTACTCTATTAAAAGTGAAAGCTGAGAATTATTTAAAATATTTATTGATTTGATTTAATTGACTGAGGACCGCTGTATTATATTGCCTGTCCTATTGGATTAGCAGATTATCTCATTTAAGATTGAATATTCAACCTCCCAGGATTGTTGCTGGAAAAATAGGCAGGAATAACGGTCATGTTAGCTGCCTTGAATTATATATATATATAAAATGATGGGATATAATAATAATAAGTTACATTAGAAATGTGCTCAATTAATCAGTTGAAACAGTAAGGTTGTACTACATGCAGTTGGCTGCTATGCCCATAAGGTTGATGTGTTAATGTACTGAAATATTGGGATTAGAGAGAAATAATCAAGATTGCACTTTTCAGAAGAAAATTGTTTTTGACCAGTGGAACAATAATTCTTACAACTATTAAAGCTGTCTTTGTACAGATAGTCCTAGACTTATGATCATATGCGTCTCTGAATTTCCATAAGTCATAAGAATCATCAATCAAGGCACCCATGTGACTGGCCTGACTTTACAGCCTTTTTATGATGATTGTTAAGCAAACACTGTGATTGTTATGCATTCCTATATGCCTTTTTTGGGGAGGGGGGCGAAAAGAGACTGAAAAGCCCAGTTTCCAGCAAAATAGTTGTAAATTGTCATGTTGCTACGCTTTGCCACAACCAGCCGTAAAGGTGACCAGGTTGCCAAACGTTCAGAATGCAGTCATGTGACTGCAGGGGAGTATTGCCATCAGAATTCTCGTAAGGGATCTATCCTAAGTTGAAACAGTCATTAAGTGGTAAGTCGTTAAGTGAGGATTCAAACACTTCAAAAAAAAATAGATTTTATGATTGCCCAATTTTGAAAATAAAGTGTTTTTTATTATGGTGCATCTTTTTTTCTGTATAATAAATTAGTCTTCCTGATAACAATGGGCTCTTCGCCCCATTATTTCTGTGGGATGTATGCTGAGTACCTAATATGAATGAATATAGACTTTACAGTAGAGAATATAGAGTTTACAGTAGAAATTATTTTTTGTGATTGCAGGTTTCAGTGGTACTTACTGTGAAATAAATATCAATGAGTGTGAAAGCAATCCCTGTGTCAATGGGGGTGTCTGCAAGGATATGGTCAATGGGTTCAGTTGCACCTGCCCCTCAGGTAAGTATGGAACTTTGCCAATCAGGAGCACTACCTCTCATTTCCACTTGGGAAAAAATGAAAGCGGCTTATTTTTTCTGCATAACATTACAGATTCTGTATCTAGGAACCATTTTTCCACTTGGCTTCTTCTTACCTGACACCACACGTATGTGCTGTGAGTGTATTTGAAGTCTGCCAGGCCCTGACGTTTAGAAGATTGGGGAACTGCAATCCTTTTTCATAAGAAGCTTAGTTTTTCTCCTTGTAATATTTGAGAACACCCGTTGCTTGAGAACTTAACAATATGCACTGCTTTGTTTTAGAGCTGTGCTGCAATTTCTCTTGCATTCATACTCTCCCCCCCCCCTCGTGACATTTCTTACCTACTTACCCATTTGTATAGACTGCATAGGTATCCATTGCTGAACAAACAGCCTATCTGGAGAATTTTTGGTCAGTGTCTGGGCTACCACTGTAATTTTATGGCAGTATCATTGGCTTCTTCCCCAGGACTTGCCCAGCTTTTCGGCTACAACTGGGTGGAGGTACTATGCTCCATTTAGTTGTTTTTAGGGTTGATTGGCAGACAGGCCTCTAGCACGCTCTGTGGGAGCTTGGACAATGGCATCTTTGTTTCCCTAGCCTGTCGCTCAGGCCCCTGAACCCAATTTACATGTGGGGTAGACACTGCAAAAACCCCTGTGGAGAGAAGGGAGAGAGACATTAAGAGCTCTTGTTATAGGCCTCTGGTGGTAAGGCTGAGTTGTGTGACTAAGCTGTATTTTACAGTGCCAAACCTTTTCTATTGCTGCCTGTATTTTTTTCTGTTCAGATTGTCAGTTTATACAGGGTTGATCTAGTTCCAGCCATTTGGAGGCTCTCTTAGAAATGCCCTATACTGACCCTGAACCATGCTTGAAATGCTTTTTATTTCTCCTAATGGCAGTGGGATGTTTATATAGGATTTTCCCTACATAGCCACTGAGAAAGTAGCCATTCAGGTAGTACTTCCATTCTTCCCAAGGTCATATTGGATTTACCCGAATTATTGCATATATGCATGGTGTTGCAGTGCTTTAGGAAGTAAATTTTGTTACCCGTGACAATTTAGGTAATTTGCATGAAGATACAAATAATATTAACTGATGTGGAACATTAGTTCATTGAATATGAGGTCTTTTACACTGAAGTCCATTAAATCCAGTCTTCACTACATTTCTAAATTTCCTGATTCCCAAAACTCTATAGATGGTTTAAAATAATAAGATTAAAACCAAAATCAAAAGTCAATACCATAAGGGATAAAATCAAACTCCTGTCACCTCTGCATTCAACAAACCTGTGAAATATGATGCAGATGTGTAAAATTTTTATCAGAGTGAATAGCAAAAAGGAAGCACTATTTTTTTTGTGAATTGTCGTTGGGATGTACTATTTGAAGTAGGACCTGTGGTTCAATTGCTATTTCATTGGTTTTTCTGTTTTGTTTGACATATTTTTCCTTCTACATTCAGGCTTCTCGGGTTCTATGTGCCAAATAGACATCGATGAGTGTGCCAGCACACCATGTCAAAATGGTGCCAAGTGCGTGGATAGGCCCAATGCTTATGAATGCCGTTGTACAGAAGGTGATTACTTACTGCAGAAGTTGATGAGATTTAATAATGAATTCAAGGGTTTATGGGATACTAACACAGGGAGAAATAAATGCTGCCACATTGTTTTCTACTTATTGTGTGCATGATACGAGTTCTTTCCCCATAACATATCTCTTCATCAGAGAGGAGGATTTTTTTGTGAAGGAAGAGTTTCAAGTAATAGTTGCTAACACTTGATTCAGGCACAGTTTATTTCTATCTTTGGTATTGGGTCTTGAATCAGTGGAAAAAGAATGATAAAATGTTTTTCAAACTAAAAGCATATATTATATTTTTTCCCAGGGAAATAGTAGTATTTCCCTATAGTGGAAGATGGTATCTAATTCTTCCTACTTAAAAACTCTTGTAATTGGGGGCAGACTTTTATTGTTCTTTGCTATGATGGAAATGGCCCATCTTTTGTTCAGTGTCTAAATTTCAATTTACACATACCTCAAAGTTACACTAAGATAACTGCAAGATGAGACTTGGTCTCTTTTTAATCAATAGCTTACTAAAATTAAAGTTAGGGGAATTTCCCCAGGAAGTTTCTGTAATCCATGCTAATGCTATCTTCTGGTTTTTTTTATAGGTTTTGAAGGGGTTTTGTGTGAAAAGAACATAGATGACTGCTCCCCAGATCCTTGCCACCATGGCACTTGTGTAGATGGCATTGCCAGCTTCACCTGTATATGTGTGGCTGGTTACACTGGGTATCGCTGTGAGAACCAGATCAACGAGTGCCATAGTAATCCCTGTCAGCACGGGGGCAAATGTATTGACCTAGTAAATAAGTACCTCTGCCACTGTCAGCCAGGGACCTCAGGTAAGAACTTTTTTCTTATCTATAAAAAATGTTCCCTCTTCCTTGCCTGGGTTCAAGCTCTCTCTTAAAGGACAGAACTGTTGAGCAGTCACATTACCATTTTTAAGACTTGCGGGCAGCACCCTTAAATGATGTTTCAAGAACCTTGCTTACTTATGCTAGCGTACCTCATCATCTACACCTGTCATTTAGTCAAGAGAAATCCAGCTATTGTGGAACATGGTGAAGGGAGGGGTGAACTACTGCCTTTCTGAGATTCATAATATGTCATTTCCTTCAAGGTGCTAACTGTGAGATAAACTTTGATGACTGCGCCAGCAATCCTTGTGACTATGGGAACTGCCACGATGGCATCAATCGTTATGATTGCATCTGCAAACCTGGCTTCACAGGTGATGGCTGGGTGACGGGTTATGTTTGGGGAGGGGGCTGGGGCAAGAAAGGAAAGGAAGCGTTAGTTATAAAATCAGCAAAATTGGATTATACTACAGGTAATTCTGCTTACAGATTATAAGTGCTTGGCTTTGCAGCCAGAAATTAGGGTGTTCAGAAGGCTGGAGGACAGAAACGCACAAATTGGCTCCAGATCCTAGCCTTTCTAAAAATTGTTGCTCAGTTGTAACGAACTGGAAAAGGATTAAATGAAGAGAATTTTTTTTTTTTTACCAGTTCTTCAGTTAAAAGTATATCAAATCAAATTATTGCTTATCATGGGCCCACTTGTTTTGTAATATAATCCCACCCCCAATATGCCATTTAAAGGTCTAGTGCACTTGGTCCCAAATAATTTGTGGTTTTCTATGGGTTTAAATTTAATTTGTACGAATTGATCTATTGTTCCTCAAAACTATAAGCCTGATCATCTCATTGCTTATTGCAGTCATTTTTTCCCCCTTTCAGGTCCTCTATGCAATATAGAGATTAATGAATGTGCATCCAACCCTTGCAAGAATGGCGGTACCTGTGTGGATGGTGAAGACGGGTTCTCTTGCCTTTGTCCCGAGGGTTTCCATGATCCACATTGCTATTCAGAAGTGGACGAGTGCAGCAGCAGCCCCTGTGTGCATGGCACATGCCATGATGACATCAATGGGTGAGAGCTTTTTACCCTAGGCCACAAATCCAGATGGCTAGGTCTTTGTAGAAAACTGCTGATCCGGTTAGGAATAGGCAGGGTTTGTTCCTGTTGAGAGATCTGTAACTGTGAAGGAAGGAGTACATTAAATCTGCATCAAGTGGCCTTGGTGAACTGTTTTGGAAGAAGTGAGGAATCTTGACTTCATTATTTTATTTTTTTAGGTACCAGTGTAAATGTGAGCCAGGCTGGGCTGGCACCAATTGTGACGTGAACCACAATGAGTGCGAATCCAATCCGTGTCAGCATTATGGCACCTGCACCGATTATGTCAATGGCTATCGTTGTAAATGCAAAGAAGGCTTCCAGGGTATGCTTAACTTGCTGGGCTTACCTTGCCCATGCTTTTCCCTAAAGAATTCTAGACCAGGACACCGATTTTCCCTTTCCTCAAATTCTGCATGACAGGGTTGGATGATGGCACTGGTTTCTTCTTAAGTTTTAATTCATAGGATTGATGTGATTATCATTTTCTCTTCAGGAACTTATTGCCAGATCAATATAAACGACTGTGCTTCTAGCCCTTGCCTCAACCAGGGCACCTGTATTGATGGCATTGCCAGTTATACTTGTCTGTGTGACTTGCCTTACACTGGTGAGTAGAAAGTTCTTTGCGATAAGAGTTTGTTGGTGGACTGGATGCTTCTTTGGGGCTAACGTAATCCTTGTTCCAGCCTGTCCTCTGGAAATTGCTTATATCAATATTGCAAATGCACAAAAAAACAATTGATACTGAGTACTAGATTGGAAGCTGGAGGATCATGGCTCATATTCATAACCTGTACTTTTTTTATTTCATGATATAGTCATAATAGCTCTGGTATTAATTGTGTAAAAATCTCAGCTGTAGACATAATGCAGTATGGCCATTCCGTGGTGTTCTTCAAATACAACTTTGAAATAGATAATGTTTCCAAACAAAAGCCTAAAAAGTGGGAATGTATAAAACAGAGTGAGGAAAAAACAGGCTGTAATCTTGCCTTAGGCTTCTTGATATCTGCCTTTTGTACATATTGATGTCAGATAATAGTATAGGAACATCTGGAGGGGAGGAAGCTGAGTGAATTCTCACAATGGGTAAAGGTCATCCACACTGTCCAATATGTGCCTGTGACAGTTGTGCAATTCCATTTTGGATTTCACTTTAAATTACAACAGTATCCATTGTCTATAAGGAGAACCACCTTTTGTAAGCAGCAATCAATTATAGCTTGAATGTTTGAGATGTATCAAGATATGCTTTCCCATAGAAGAATATTAGTTCGGTTGAACAAATAATAATAAATAAATAAATACCTGCCTACTCTTGACAGGCTTTTCATTCTTTTCCCCAGGACGGAACTGTGAGAATGTTTTGGCTCCTTGCTTCCCTAACCCATGTGAGAACAATGGTGTTTGTGACCATACACCTGATTATGAAGGGTTTACTTGCAGTTGTGGACCAGGCTGGCAAGGTATTATGACCATGTGTCCTTTTTTCCCATCGCTTTCAGAGCATTATATTTTAAACGCCTTTAAATGGAGACACGATAGAGAAATTAAAGCATTAAGCACTTTAAAATAACTGTCTACATTTTGTTCTCTCCCTATAGGGCAGCAATGCCACATTGACATTAATGAATGTGACCAGAACCCATGTCGAAACAGGGGCACTTGCACCAACACACTCGGCAGCTATAGATGTGCCTGCCGCCCTGGCTACACTGGCATCAACTGCGAGATGGATATTGATGATTGCACACCTAGTAGGTTTATTGAATATATGGGAAAACAAGGAAGAATCTGATTGGAACTAAAGAGTTTGCTCTCCAGCTGGGTTACTTTTTCAGAGACCGGATATATGGCATTATTTCTTACCTGAGATTCCAGTCTTATTGTTGTCTTGACAAACTAGAGTCTCAAGGCCTTTGTTCAACTGTTTTCTTAAAAGTAATTCTGACTAATTCTGAAACCAGACCTGAAACGCCTTCATTCATTTCCAGTGAGATTTAGACATATTTAAATGATCCTTAAGTCTGAAGTTCAGAGGTAGTCATGATGCCAGATCAAGGTGAACTTGTGGCCTCAGTGTGTCAGAACTTTGCAACAGACTTAAATTGACTTTGCTGGCATCCCTCCCTCCCTCCCTCCCTCTCTCTCACTCCCCGCCTCCCCCCCTCTCTCCTACACACACACCCTTAACCAAAAAGAAAGAATTCTCTATCAACACCCCCCCCCCATCTAGATCACTCTGAACAGTGACCCTCAATGACAATGCTGAGGTTGGGTTTGAAGTAGATGCCTGGGCATTGACACCAGCCCTTGCCCCATTGCTGCCACTCAAAAAGGTTGCCTTGCACCATCCCCCAAGGCATGGAAAACTTAGAGGGAACAGCGTAATTGACCTATGGCCATCCCCAAGATCTGTCATGCACTACTTACCTTCAGACACTGTTCTCTTTCTGTTGGAGAGGTTCTTGCAGCTTACCCAAGGCTACTCCAGGTTGCACAAGGCCTTCATTCTTGAAACAACTTTGGAAAATGCTCTTCCACGACCACTGCAGCCTCCAAAAGCCACACAAGAATACACCCCATTCTTGCACAGCCCCCGAATATCATGTGAAAGCATGTCCTGTTTCTCAAAATGATTTTCTAAGGGTCCAGAGGCTGCACGGGAGCACAGTCCTCTCGCCCAACCTTCAGAGGGGGCACAAGAGCATAACTGATTCTCTCATGGTCTCCATAGTGTCCAGAAGTCATGAGAATAGGGCATGCTTTTGAGAGTAGTTGTTGAGTGTTTGTGAATGCTGGTGGGTCACCCAAAACATTGTGGCATGCCACCACGTCGTACGTTCACCGCCACTATGCTAAATGCACGAGAATATACAAAATTTAGTCATTTGTTCGAAGAAGAAGAAAAGAATGCTTACGCTTACTAAAACCTTTTGAACATTCTCCTCCCTGCCAACAGATCCTTGCCTGAATGGTGGCGCCTGTCAGGATGGCATCAGTTCCTTCACATGCACCTGCCTGCCAGGTTTCACAGGACCGCGCTGTGCAACTGAAACCAATGAGTGCCTCAGCAACCCCTGCCGCAATGGGGCCACCTGTACCGACTATGTCAACAGCTACACTTGTACTTGTTCCCCAGGCTGGGCTGGCTTACACTGTGAGCACAATGTGCAGGAGTGCACTGACAGGTGAGATTATTGTTCTAAGGCAGTGGTTCCCAACCTTTTCTATACCCCGCACCCCTAGAACGCTTCTGATATATTCTTGCACCCCTTACAAAAGTTCGAAATAACGGCAACGAACTATGCATATACACTTATAATTTTGAAAACCCATGTTTTTGCACCCCCTGGTTGGGAACCCCTCTTCTAAGGGTTCAGCATCTCATGTCTTGCTCACAAGCTCCCTGGTCATTCAGGTTGCTGAACAGTTCAGCGTGCAGTATGGCCCCTAGAACTCTCTTTATATCACTAAAGCCAAATAGCAGAGCGGTGAGAATTATTTTGGAGATTTGCATCACATACCAAGTACATACCCACATTTCTCTCTGTGGAACATCATGCTCCATGCATTCAGTTGAAGGGGCTTATGAAACTTTATCTCTGCTGTCATAGTTCTCAATACCTGGATGGATATAGAGTGCAAACGGCAGAAAGTTATTTTTTTCCACTAGTTTTCAAATGGAGAAGTAGATCATTTTATACACATGCTCCTCTTGAACTGAATTCTCTAACTTTGTTCCTTTGAATTATCTGCTCCTAGACCACATAGTCCAAATGGAGGAAGCATTGGATGCTAAAGTGTAGGAAGATTTACCTACAATATTCCATTGCCTGTCTGTCGCAGGCAAACTGAACCTAACTATTGAGCAAGAAGAAAGATTAATGACAGGCCCTTCTGTAGTGTGCTGGAGAACAGAATGGCTTTTCTTACTGTTTCATTTTTCAGCAAGAGTAGACATTCTTCTTTTAGATATTGGTTTGCCAACACATTTAGCCTAGAGCAGTGGTTCTCAACCTTTTTAATGCCGCGACCCCCCAACCGGTCGTAAGTCGAGGACTAAACCGGTCGTAAGTCGAGGACTAAACCTGTCGTAAGTCGAGGACTACCCAACTGGTCGTAAGTCGAGGACTTTCCCTGCCCGGGAGCACCGCGCATGCGTGGTTCCGCCCCCTGCGCTGGCCGAGGTGTAGCTGGCAAGCGGCAGAGACGGAGCAGGCCGACCACCAGCTGGCCCAGCTCAAGGGAGGTAAGGCACCCGCCGGAAAAGGGGAAAAAATGGCGGACAGCCTTGCTTGGCGACCCCCGTGAAATGGTCAATCGACCCCAAATGGGGTCGCGACCCATAGGTTGAGAACCGCTAGCCTAGAGGAAGTTACATCTCTGCTAGAGGAAACTCAGGCTAGAAAGTGTTGCTGGTCTCTTCCTTCATTTTGTACTTCTCTGTTTGTCTTCTGGCAGCTCTTGCTTCAATGGCGGAACGTGCTTGGATGGAGTGAATTCATACACCTGCCACTGTCGTGCTGGCTTCACAGGCACCCACTGCCAGCATGAGATTGATGAGTGCCAGTCACAGCCCTGTCTCAATGGTGGGGTGTGCCATGACGGTGTCCAGTCCTATCGTTGCACCTGTCCTCAGGGCTATACAGGTCCTCAGTGCCAGGTAAATTTTCTCCAAGCCTCAGGTAAAGGAGATGCAAATAATTTTACATCTTTAGAATTTATCTAAGGCAGGGGTGTCAAACTCAATTTCATTGAGGGCCACATCAGCATTGCGGTTGCCCTTGGGGGGGTCAGGTGGGTGTGGCCAGGGTGGGTGCGGCCTACTGGGTGGGTGTGGATGGAGTGGGTGTGGCCTACTGGGTGGGCATGGCCAGCTCTACATTGTTCGCGTCAAGGGTGCCTGTGGGGGCCTGGGCAGGAGTGGGACAGATCTGAGGATCTCTGGCAGAAGGGGGTGGGACTGGGGCAAGCGCCAAGGCATGGTCCATTTCTTCATTCCTCACAAAGGGTGACACCTCCCCAGCATGCACCCAGGGGGCGGGGCTGACGTGGCAGGGGCTGGTTCCTTGCTGTTTCCAGACAGCCTTGTGGAGCTAAGACTGAATGCGTTTCAGCATAGATGGCCACCACAAAATTGTACATTGGCTCCCGGCCGGCCTGGGCCAGGGCCAAGGCAGCGGGGGCCGTTCCCTCACTGTTTCCAGGATGGCTTCGCGGGCCACATGAAACACTTCGCGGGCCGCATCTGGCCCCCGGGCCTTGTGTTTGACATGTCTGATCTAAGGGGAGCAAGGCATCTACAAGAAGATCTGAGACCGGAGGGGGTATATACCACAGTAGCTCAATACAAAGGAAAGATGAGGGTTTCACATTGGCAAGACCACAATATTTTGTCACATACTCTTGCGTTGTTTTGCCCTTCCAGAACCTTCTGGATTTGTGTAGCCGTTCCCCCTGTCAAAACGGTGGGCACTGTGTACAGTCGGGTGCTACTTTATCCTGTGATTGCCCTGGAGGCTGGACTGGCCGTTACTGTGACATCCCAAATGTTTCTTGTGACGTGGTGGCAAGGAACCGAGGTAAGGGTCTTGCTGTTCCAGGTCTCCTCCCTCTGTAAAGAGAAGTTAACTGTTCCTCTTCGACCCTGCTACTTGTGTTCACAGTGAAAATGTCTCCGCCGCAAGCTCAAATGTGTGTTGTTCATTATCCAGGCTTCTCAACATTGTCATCTTGTACTCGCTGTTCAAGTATTTCAGAGCTACTGGGACAATGTCTTTAAATCCACTCAGCCACCAATTAATCTCCCAACTGCAATTCCTAGGAGTGTCCATCAAATATTTAGCATTCATGAAGTTTTATTTTCTATGCTTTCCAAGGAGAGTGTGAATATTGCTAATGTTATTTGCTATAATAATCGATTCAGCATTAGCAGATGTTTCAGTTATTTAGTCAGAGAGAATGTTTATTATGTTTACTTCAAAATGGGTTCTCTCTCTAAACAAAACTGAATGTCTTGGTCAGGGGTAGGCAACCTTGGCTCTTTTATGACTCATGGACTTCAACTTCCAGAATTCCTGAGCCAGCTATGCTGGCTCAGGAATTCTGGGAATTGAACTCCATGAGTCATAAAAGAGCCAAGGTTGCCTACCCCTGGTCTTGGTACTCAATGAACTGTATAATAGAGATGTTTGGTCTGTTTGGTCCTCTAGCTCAGGGTGCTTCAAATTATGTTCCCTGGAATCCTATTTGAGAATTTGATGGGTTCTGTGAAAGTTTTAGGGGAAAATGTTTACTCAAACACAGCCAATTTTCTGTCATTCTAAAGCAGTGTTTCTCAACCTTGACAATTTTAAGGCATGTGGACTTCAACTCCCAGAATTCCACAGCCAGCATTGCTGGCTGTGGAATTCTGGGAGTTGAAGTCCACATGCCTTAAAATTGTCAAGGTTGAGAAACACTGTTCTAAAGTTTTGTGTTTTCCCGCCAGGGGTTTCAATAATTTTTCTAAATCATTTTTGCATTTCTAAATCATTATGTAGCCTGAAAACAGTCGAAAGCTCTTGCTCTAGCTGTATGAAGTATATTATATACTCTTTCACGTTTTAAATCTGCCATACATTATTTCATTTATTTTATAAACATATATTCAATTTCCACCAAATGATGCCAATGAGAACTGTAAACATATCCTTTAAAGACAAATTAGAATCAAATTTCAGAAACACTACAAAAGTATGTTCTTCCTCTAGAAAATTGAACTTAGAACAGAAGAAACTCCAGCTATTTTCAAAGGCTTGGAACATAAATAAATCGTGGTTGTGTACACTTGTTTTGTTTTTCTTCACAATTTTTGTTCTTGCTAATTCTGTTTAGTTCTCTTAGAAAAGAGTACAGAGGATATGTTGAGAGCACACAGTGAATAATTCTCTTTTTCCTCGGCATAGGTGTGACCAAGGAACAAGTGTGCCATTATGGAGGCCGTTGTGTGGATGCTGGCAATACACACTACTGTATTTGCAAGAAGAGCTACACTGGCAGCTACTGTGAGAGTGAGGTCAATCACTGCCAGCACAGCCTATGTCGGAATGGGGGCACCTGCCGTAGTTTTGTGGGAGGTTATGCCTGTGAGGTGAGGAAGGCCTAGCCAACCATATCGGCCAGAGAACCTAGCTTATCTTCTAGGAAAAGTGCTGCTTCATAAAGGAAGCATTGGAGGCCATAATGTTGCACGGGGGATGTTGCGAAGATTGGGAGCTAAGGAATTGGCACAAACCTATACCTTATTTTTCCAGTTAATGTAAAACAAGACAAAAAAAAGAACTATCTCCCAATGATCTGTGTTTTCCGTGTTGAGTACATTTCTTCATAAAATACTGCAGTTGTTTTCTGTTGTTCCAACATGCAGTGCAAAATTTATGCATATTTGATTATTCCTCTTCGGGCATTGAATAACTCCCTTTTTACGACCCTGTAATCTCTTAATTCGGGGTATGCGAACAGTAAAATACCTTCCATTGTTTCTTGAATTTTTGTTGCAACCATGAGCTAGATCAAACTGGTATTCCTTCAGTGATATTTCAGATTTCACTAAGCAAGTAGAAACTATTTGTATACAATTAAGTTAATTTTGCAACGTAGAAACAAATACAGTTATTACCCTGGCTGGATAAGGAAGAATTAGAATTTAAGAAAATGTGGAGATTTAAAAATTCTCCACCCTGCCTATTCAGTACTTGGGTGGCAGTCTCTATCAACATTCAACACTCATTCTGTCATCTTTTCTTAAACCGCTGCACCTCAATATATTTTCCTGTGGTAAGAATGTTGTTGCTGGCCTATCAAATTAAACGATAGAAGGGCTTTAGATAATAAAAAAGACCATATTAATCTCTTCCAAATAAAGCTCTTACATTTATTTAGTTATTTCTGCAGTATGATTGGTTCTAGAGAATGATTGCATTTACATTACTGTCTAAATCAGGTCTAAAGACAAAACTAGTTTGAGGTAAATACATTGAAATGTAGCTGCCAACTATAGGCAAATGTCCCATGGCAGGCAGGGAGGTGTTTAAGAGTTTTCTTACAATCTACCATAAATATAAAAGGAATGGAGGGCACCGTTCTGTTCATATATACTATGGTAAATCAGGTAGGCAACCATGGGAAGACTCTGAGCATGATTATTGAAAACTAATAATAGGTTCTCATTCTTTTAAAGGGGAGATACGTGAGAAATGATTCCTCACTTAGCCTTAAATAGACAAATCACAGTTTAAAAGACAAATAACTAAACTCCCCTCCAACTACTATTCTGCTCGCATGTTTGACATGTAGCCTTAACTTTTTTGCCGCCCTGCCTCCACCCCCCCCTGTTGAGTGTAATCCTCAACTCTATGCTAAATCATTGTCTTTCCAAAATGATATATGAATGTGGTCTTCATGTGTCTCGTCATATAAGCCCTCAATCAGATTTAAATCTATGTTTGCCAGTTCTTTAATACTATAATGAACAGAACAGCAAATCGGGGATCCCATCGTGTCAAAGATTGTCCCATAATGTTTTTTTAGAATGGGTGATAGAGGATCTGTATAACTGAAATGCAGTTGTCTTTTCTCAATGCAAAACCTCTTCATTGCAAAATCTTGACTTTTATATTTTCTAATGGAAATAAGATAATTCTGTCTTGTATACCTTTCACGACACATTCAGCAACTACATTCTTTCTTCTTCACAATTGAGGTATCACTACTTGCTTTTAAAAATAGCCATTTTGTACCATATTTTATGATTATATGGATGTGGATGATATATTTTTGTTCTGCTCTGTTAATTCTAATGTTGTAAGACAAACTGTTATCTGTATTCTGAGTATATATTGGAATTGTTTAAAAAATTCTAAGTCCTATTCAGTATTCTTGATTTAATGAAAAATGGATAAGAAGCACTTTGAAAGTATGTTTTTAAGAATACTTTCTTGTCTTATTATCTTTACCTATTTTCCCCCCTCTTTTTAGTGTCCTCTAGGTTTTGAGGGGAAAAACTGTGAATTTGATATTGATGAATGTCAGTCACACCCATGCCAGAATGGCGGGACTTGCATTGACCTCACTGGTCGCTACATTTGTTCCTGCCCACCAGGAACACTAGGTAAGCACGTGGCTTTTTTGTGGAATGGGATAATAGCACCTCTTATCATGTGGGAAACATTGTTAGTATTCTTAGGTGGAAAGCATAAGACAACAGAGGGACATATTTTAGATTTAACCAGTGCAGCTCTGATTTTCATTTACTTCTGTGGAGACGAGACCTGGATTTTTTTTTTCTTAAATCACTTGATAGAGAATATGAGCTCATTTGAAAGAGGACAACCTCGGAACTGGACTTTTTCCAACAGTGTTGAACAGTTTGTGACTTTCCTGGTGTTTCTGAATATAGACTCCCGTTAGCCTCTAGCCATCACAGCTGACCATCAGAGATAATTGTAATTGTTTTCTAATCACATTTGGAAAGCCATAAATTCCCTACCCATTTTTTTCCTCAGGTAATAAGAAAGGGAAACACAGCCTTACAATAGCAACCTCATGCTGTCTGGAGTCTTGAACTATAAAACCGTGATCCCTTGCTTTGGTTACATTAGTAGCGTTGATGGGAGCTGAAATTGAACATACTTTCAATAGGCCATCTCACCTTCAGAATGGGGAATTTATTCTTATCACAAGCAGTTCAAGAAGTGGGGATATGTTTGGGGTACGTAGTATTAGAACCTTTGGAATGATTGTTTGTTGTTTGTCTCTATAGGTGTCTTGTGTGAAATAAATGAGGATGATTGTGCCTCGAATCCTAATAGCCGTGTCCCCAAATGCCTGAACAATGGAACATGTATGGACAGAGTGGGTGGTTACCATTGCAACTGCCCACCAGGCTTTACAGGCGAGCGTTGTGAGGGAGATATAAATGAATGTCAGTCCAATCCCTGCCATCCACGCAACACCCTTGACTGCATTCAAGAAGCCCGTGACTACCAGTGCATCTGCAAGCCAGGCTACACGGGTGAGTGAGTGCTGATAATGTGAATGTGATGGATTCAAGAGGCAAAGAAGAATGTGAGCTGCAGTGGTGAGCAGAGGAGACAGGCTGAAATAAATGTCTCCAGGAAAAAGCAATTAAAATTGTATGAATTTTTTTTGGAAAGTCACCACTTGTTGACTCCAAAAACCACAAAATGAGCATTCAGGCATTCTGGTGAGGGTATCATGAAACATTTTGTTTTTTTGAGTAATTGATCATTTATTGTAACAAAACAGCAAATGAGTAAAACAGGGCTTTTCAACCTTTTCACCCATTGTACCACTTTTAGGATATGGCAACATCCGAGTACCACCAGTCACCTAGCAAGGTGTCAAAAACTTGATGACCCCCCCCCCAAAAAAGAAAAAAGTGATAAAGTACAGGTAGTCCTCGACTTAGAACAGTTCGCTTAGTGACTGTTCGAAGTTACAATGGCACTGAAAAAAGTGCTCTCCATGCCACAGCCGAGCAAGACACCTGCCTGCCTGCCCGGCGGCGTTCTTCCTCCTGTCCGAGGTTTTCATTGTTGTGAGCATTTCTGTTGAGGATTGGCAGCGGGAGTGGGGTGGGGGGGTGTTTGGTTTTTATTCCCCCCATCTGCTGGGTGGTTGCAGCAGGTTTTGGTCACTTCACATGACCCTAGGACACTGTGACCGTCACAAATATGAATCAGTTGCCAAGCATCTGAATGTAAATCACAAGACCCTGGAGATGCTGCAACATTCCAGCTGATCGGCGCTTCTTCTGGGCTCAGAAGCATCAGGATCAGCGTTGAGCTCCAGCTGGAGCCTGGTGCTGATCCTGGCGCTTCCGCTGAGCCCAGCCGTCTTTCGCTCAGGCTTGTGCGGTACTGCCACTGGTTCAGCTCATTCCCCTCCCCCGCTACCACTTTTCTAGGATGGTCGCGTACCACCTGCCAGGTGCCAATGTACCACAGGTGGTATCCGTACCACTGGTTGAAAAGCCCTGGAGTAAAAATGTGCACGTTTTACCTAAAGTTCTCTGGATATTCATGAGTCATGAAGTATTACACATCCATTCGTGTCTTTCGTGGTAGGCTTATGGAACAAGTTTGTTTTTAAATGATCTCATATTTATTTTATTGGGAAACACACACCCCCCCCAATATGGTAGATTTGTTTTTCTACTAGGTCCATCTCAATCCTGGTTGACAGTAAAAAAAAAAAGTATATGTTATTCTTTTGCATTTTTCAAACTGAAAGCTTTGCATTCTATGATCTGTGGGGGATTTCCAGGTTAACTTTTATCTATAAGGTTAATATATTGTATATTCTATTTCAGCATCACTTTCCATTTGCTTGAGTTTTGAATTTGGTTTGTATTCTGTAACATGTTAAATGAGTATTTCTTAGAAATCTTGGGAGCTATGGCTCAGCAACACACACAGGGAGGGAGGGGGAGAGAGAGAGAGTGTTAGAGTTTGGAAAGTTTTGTAACAAGAGAGAAGTATTTATGCCTGACTGATTGAATATTTTTGTAATTCATGCTTAATTAGGAAAGAATATACTCACTTGCTAGTTCAATGTTGATGATAGAGCTCAATAGGCCAGTGTTTCTCAACCTTGACAATTTTAAGGCATGTGGACTTCAACTCCCAGAATTCCACAGCCAGCATTGCTGGCTGTGGAATTCTGGGAGTTGAAGTCCACATGCCTTAAAATTGTCAAGGTTGAGAAACACTGCAATAGGCATTGGTGTGAAAGAAGAATCTGTCAGCCACAGAAATTGTCACATTTAATGGGGTCATGGCGTTCTCCTGAAAAGTTTGCGGTATCATTGGCAGAATAACATTTCCCCCTTTTTTTAGGTCGCCACTGCAAAAACATTGTGAATGCCTGTGAATCTCAGCCTTGTCAGAATGGTGGGCAGTGTAAACTAGCCGTGAACTTGCCTCTCAGATATACCTGCCATTGCCCTCGGGTGAGTACCTAGAGCAAAGCTATATGTACGTACGACACCATAGTACATTCCCTGAGTATGAATATTATAAAGAATTAAGCAGGGCAAAGAAGAATTAATGTAAGCTGAATACACTGAAGCTGTGCTACACCTGAAGAAACTGACATTTTTATCATGGGTTGGAATGCCATTTCTGTTTGGGGAGGAGTAGAAAACAATTCAATTGCATAATTCTGTGATACTTGGGGGGTTCCAGCTCTGGTTCCAGTTTCTACAAAAGAAATATATAGTATTATGGGTACAAGAATATGATTCTTCAAACCTTAAACTTCGGGTGGGAAAGGATTTTCTTATCACAGTTGCAAGAAGGGAGATACTCTTTAACAGAGATATTTTGCCTGACTTTCTTATTAACTCTTTCTTTTTCAGAGCTACTCGGGCATCAATTGTGAGCGCAGTGTGTTATCTTGCCGAGAACTCTTCTGTTTCAATGGTGGCAACTGCTGGACTTCAACTCTGGGTGCCCAGTGTTACTGCCTAGCTGGGTGGGCTGGACCCGATTGTCGCCTCCGTGCCAATAGCAGTTGCGCGAACCAACCTTGCCACAACGGGGGTGTTTGCCATGAGATTGCCACTGCCCCGTACTTTAAGTGCCTCTGCCCTAGTGACTACACAGGTGTTCACTGTAAGACTGCACGCACAGCCCGGCCACCTCTGCTCCACGAGCTCCACTGTCCATTGGAAGAGTGTGCTGCGAAAGCAGGGGACTCCTATTGTGACAAGATGTGCAATAGCCCAGCTTGTCACTGGGACGGAGGTGACTGCTCTCTTTTGGTGGATAATCCTTGGAAGCAGTGTGTGAGCCCTCAGTGCTGGCAGTACTTCAACAACAGTCAGTGTGATGAACTCTGCAACACCGCTGAGTGTCTTTATGATAACTTTGACTGCAAGAATCGTGAGCGCACCTGCAAGTGAGTCCTGCCTGCTTCTTTGGAGGGGGACCTGTAGGTCATATTTCCCTAGTACTTAATTAGAACTCCGAGCATGTATTCTTCTTTTTTCTGCCAGATTAACTGAACGAGACACTGAGACTTTGTTCAGAACACAAATGTTGTTGTTGTTGTTATTCTAGATCAGGGGTAGGCAACCTTGGCTCTTTTATGACTCGTGGACTTCAACTCCCAGAATTCCTGAGCCAGCATAGCTCAGCATGGAAACCTCTCCATTTCTCCTCAGCATGGCTGGCTCAGGAATTCTGGGAGTTGAAGTCCACGAGTCATAAAAGAGCCAAGGTTGCCTACCCCTGTTCTAGATATCTTTATTCTAGATATCTTTATTTTGGGGGAGGGCGAGCTGTCTCAATATTGTAATCCCAATGACTCAGTTGATTTGTGGTGCATTTGGAAAGGGTATTCCCTGTCGCTCTTTTATGTTTCTTTATCAACGAAGAAGACATTTTGTGTTACTATAGAATTTGTTTTAGTGCAAAGGATACATTCCCATCTCTTTTTCTTTCTTTTTTTTGACAGTCCTATTTATGAGAAATATTGCTCAGATCACTTTGCTGATGGGCATTGTGACCAAGGCTGTAATAAAGAAGAGTGTGGCTGGGATGGGCTGGATTGTGCCCGGGAAGTGCCTGAGCACTTGGCAGAGGGTATTCTAATCATCACCGTGCTGCTGCACCCGGATGAACTGCTCCGCACCAGCACCATCTTCCTGCAGAAGCTGAGTGCCATTTTTTCCTGGAGGGACGCTAAGGCAGACCTACTTTTACCGTTAATGTACTAGTTTGGAATAATACCTTGACCTGCTGCTGATGCGTCCCTTGACCCGGTTCTTTATTAACCCACTCAAAATGCATCCGCCCATCTCTTTTTCTTCTCAAAACTCTCATTCTATTTCATTCGAATAAAATAATACATGATATCCCGAGGGTATTTTATCAGCTGCCTTGGTCAATGATGTTCAAAATTATGATGGCACTGAAAAAATAACTTTACAACCAGTGCCCACAATTGTGACCTTTACAATGTTTCTCAGTCATGTGATAGTCATTATAGTCAATATGCTTTGTCCTGTGCCTGACTTGTTCTCCCTACCACCTTGCAGAGGAGAGGGATTGGAGAGGAACAGATTACAAGAGAATAAGAAAGCTTACCATGAGAAATAAACATCAAAAGGAGTGCAATTGGGGCTGGAAGCAATGTGGGTTAAGCCTGCAGCCCAGTGTATTCCTTATGGTGTGCCTGCTTGCTCTCTTGTAATCCCTTCCTCTCCAATTTCTTCCCTCTAGGATGAGGGGAAGAAAAAAAAAGTCAGACACAGGAGAGAGTGGCTACAGAAATTACTGATCTTTTCCCGCCATCTCAGAACAGAGAGATTGAAGAGGAAGGGATCACATGACAATAAGCATAATGTTGAATTACACTGGGCTCTTTGTATAGTGTGCTGCTAACTCCCAGCCCTGAAGCACTCCTTTCAATGTGTATTTCCCCTGCTTGCTCTCCTATAATCCCTTCTTGTCCAATGAGCCTAAATACAAGCTTTAATTCCCTTTAATTCCTTTTAATTATCCTAGTTCTGGGATAATTCCAAAGGCAGGGGAGCAGGGAAAAGGAAAGCAGAGTTGTGGTCACATGGTTTCCCACTTAGCATTGTTTTGCTCCATGACAGAGCTACCAGTCCCCTGTAAAATCTGACGGTTAATAACTGTGCTTTATTTTTTAAACCACATTAAAACAAGCTTCTTAGAGAGTGCTAGATTCCCATTTGTGGTTGCTGAACAAATGCTACCTGTCTACTATAATCCCTATTTGTTAAGAGGGTCTAGATAGGGCTACCCTTTAAGATCACTTGGAAGCTATAACTGGTCCAGGTTATGGTCACACAAAGCAATTACAGGCATACCTCAGGTTTGCCCATGCAATACCTCTGCTCTTCAAATTACCCCAGTTACCCCTGGCTTGTAGGCTGCATTTCGAGATGCTGGATTTCATCTATAAAGCCCTACATGGCTTGGGACCCACTTACCTATAGGACCACCTTTATCCAGTTGTCTCCGCCTGCCCTATAAAATCTGACGGTTAATAACTGCTATTTTATTTTTTAAACTACACTAAAACCAGCTTCTTAGAGAGTGCTAGATTCCCAGGAGGCTGTTAATGATAATTAAACAGACAATAATACAGAGAGATGCACCGATGGGATAAATTTGCTGTTTTAAAATGGTATGGCATGCCTTTTGTAAAAAGAAGTGGAACTTACGATATACTTGCATTTTTAAAACGATTAATTACACCTTAAAAGCAAGTTCATCCATAATGCACATTTGG